GGAGGGAGGGAGGGAGGGAGAGGGAGAGAGAGAGAGAGGGAGAGAGGGAGAGAGGGAGGGAGAGAACGCTGACTCGGCCAGAATCCCAGCGTCGTGATTTACAAGGCGCCGACCCTGACGCGCAGAGGCACCTCCACCGCAGAGAAAAGATGGGGGAGAGACACAGACACGGAGAGAGACAGAAAGAGGGAGAGAGATGTGGGGCGAGCTTGTGCGTACAGGAGCCAATCAGAGGCCATCAGACCACGGGTGGGGGGGCCACAGGGAGCACCCACCTGCCCAGGCTGGCCAAACAGCCAGGTGGGCAGTGGCCCCGAATCCCCAGCCCCACCAGCCATGCTGTGCCATGCCGGGCAGGCCCTAGCCCTCTCTGATCTTGGCCCCTGTCCCAGCCCTGAGGTGCTGGGGGACCCTCAATCACAGCAGAGCCTCCCAGAACCCACACCAGGCTGGCCCCTCGTGCCTTCCCCCGCAAACCCGCAACAGACACCTGGCCCATAAGAGGTGCTTAATGAAGATCTATTATATTCAATCAAGACAAAGTTGGGGACCCTCTCGCAGCCTCAGTCTCCCCACTGGAGAAATGGGGTAAAAAGAGTGCTGCCCAGCAAGGCAATGAGGTGAAGGAATGAAGGAAAGAATGAATGAACGAGGAAGGGGGACCTGGCGGCCGCACTGCCGTGGCTGCAGCCCAGGCCCAGCCTGCGGCCCCGGGGAATCCTGGGCACTGCAGCCAAGAGGGATTTGGCCCCAAACCCGGAATAACTAACGTGGCGGTGGAGGCGGGCGGGAGGGAGGCCCAGAGCGGGGCAAGCGCGGGGAGGCCGGCCTTCCCGGCGGCAGGATTTATGGAAGTAACGGCTGCCCCACACAGTTCCTCTTCAGAGTAAAAGTGAAAAGCACTTGAGTCACCACTGAAACAGGGACGGGGCTCCCAGAATCCTCCAGGGCCACCCGGGCCGCGGCTGCCACCCCCTCAGTGGACGGGACCCCGGGGGCACAGGGCGGGCTGGCACGGGAGCAGCCCACCCGCCCCCCACCCCTTCACACGCCCCGAGCCGGTCTCGGCTCAGGATCCGGGTCGGATCGGCTAAAAGGGAGCTATTTTAGTATGGGCTCGGGTTGTAAAATTAGTCAAGGGGGGAGATGGAGGCCCAGAGATGGAGAGACAGAGAGAGACAGAGATGGAGAGAGAGCGAGACAAGGAGAGGGAGAGACGCAGACAGAGAGAAATGGGTAGGGTGCGATGAGGTAGCCAGGAGTGGGGGTCCTGCATGGGTAGTCTGGGTCCTTCCGGGTTCCCCCGCTGGAGACCACAGACCAGGCTGGGCCTGCAAGCAGCTGCGAGGATTACACTGAGGGGGTCCTGGGAGGGGGACCTGGGTTCCCCTCCAGGGTGGGGGCACCCGTGGGAGAAAAAGCAGAGGAGGGGGAGCCCCCTGCGCTTGGGCCACCCCATCCCCATCCTAGCCTGGGAGCTCCCTGGTCCTCTCTCTGCCTGTCTCTGTCTCCCGGTCGCCCTGTCCCTTGCACACAGCAACCTCAGGTATTTTTTATTGTCACATTTCCACCAAGAGCCCGCCTGGCTGATCCTTGCCCTGCACCCCAGGGAAAGCCAGGCCTGGGGAGCACAACACCAGCTCTGGTTCTCACTGCCACACACTCTGGGCAACGTGGACGGAGCCTGTCTCCCGAGGAGTCCTGATGGGGGAATTCCAGGGCCCAGTGACAATAGGCTGCGGTCCAACCTCCTCGCCTGGAATAGCCTCCCTGGGCTCAGCCCCCTTGGGCGGCTCTGGGAGCGAGCGCGAGGAAAAGGTGGAGGAGGCGGGGGCACCCCGGGGCCACTCAGGCCACCCTGAGCCCAGAATGAGAGGCCCAAGGTCACCGGGCAACCCTGCCTAGGACCCTCATGGCTCTTGGGGAGAGCTTCGGGCGACAAGAGGCAGAGGGGGGCCAGTGATGACTGCGTCTGGGGACCCCCAAAGTTGCTCTGGAGGGGAAGGAAGGTCTGGAGAGGGGCAGGGACATGCCCAAGGTCACCCTGGGGATGATGGGTAGGACAGGCCCTGAGACCCCCTAAGCACCAGCCCTTACATTCCCCCATGGGGAGCCAGAAACTGGAGGACCTGGAGGGGGCGGGTGAGAGGGAGCCTGCCATGAGTGAGGGGCACCCTCGGATCATGAATGGGGGACCCCCATTGGAGACTGGCATCCACGTGCTCTCTGTACCGTGGTCCTCAGGACACTCAGCCACCGGCTTGACTCCCACCTCCCTATGCCCCGCACTTCACAGCTTGGAGGCCACACTGCCCCTCTCCGGAACCTGCCTTAGCTCCGTGTCACTTCAGGGGAAACTGAGGCCGGGACCCCAGTGGCCTAAGGACACACAAGGAACCGGGGTCAGGGCAGAGCTGGAGGGTGGAACCAGTAGACTTGGGAGGGTGCCCCCCCCCCTCCCTGCCATGGAGCTGGGAGAGGGAAGGGGTCCCCCAGGGGCGACCCGGGACAGGGGCAGCCGCCCCCTTCCCACACATCCCCTGGGTCATTGCACAAGGGCCGAGCCCCGGGCAGTCTGGGAGCTCGGCCAGGGGTGAGAGGCAGCGGGCGGGGGCAGGGGCAGGTGCCGGGCTGGCGAGGGCGTCCGCAGCGCCGCAGTGCCCGGACCAGACCCCGGAACGCCAGGCCTCCCGGCTCCTCCCGGCGGCGGCGGCTCAGTAACTCACAATCGATGCGGCGAAAATATGGGGATGGGGTTGAGGGACGGGGGGAGGGGGGGGAGAGGGAGACCGAGCCGGGACGTCGGGGCCCCCTCCCCCCACGGCTGGCGCCTCCAACTTTGCGGGCCCCCTCCCCCTCCGCGCACACGTGGGCCAATAATGGGGGGAAAGGCTGCCCGGGGCCTGGGTGGCGGCGCACAGGCTTGCGGGGTGGGGGGGGGTCCGGGGAACGCATCAGAGGGGTCCTCGTCTCAAGAGTCCCCGGGCATCCAGGATCCAACCAGGACTCCCTCGATTCCTCCTAGGAGCAGGCCTGGGTCGAGGCCTGGGGCCAGCGCAGAGCCCCACCTTTAGCCTTCTCCCGGGCGCCCCCCGACCTTCCTGGCTGGGGTGGGGGAGCGCGTCCTGCGTCCGGGGAGGGCGAGGCTGTAGGGCGAGCCAGAGAGGTCGCGGGGGGCGGGGCGGGAGTCCCCGGCGAGGGTCCTGGGTGGGGGGGAGGTGTCCCCGGCCCAGCCCAACCCCCCCACCGGACCCCGGCCGGCGGCGGGGGCATCCCGGCCGCGGCGGCGGGAGGGACGCGCGCCTTTTTCGTCCCGCCTCCTCGGGCTTCCAAACTCCGGGGCCGGGCAGCGGGGGACGCGGGGCCGGGGCACAGTGGGGCGCGGGCCGAGGGCAGGGTGGGGGCCGTACCTGGGTCAGGCAGAGCGGGGACGAATACATCCCGGGCGCGGCGGGAGGCGCAGGGCCGGCCGGAGCGGGCGCGCTGAACTTACTGAGTCATTTTTCCAAACCCCCCCCCGCGGCCGCGGCCGGCGCGCTCCTCGCCGCCTCCTCCCTCGGTCTCCCTCCCTCCTCCCTCCCGCGCTCGCCCTCCCTCCTGCGCCCGACTCCCTCTCTCTCCCTCTCTCCGTCTCTCTCTCCTTTCCTGTCCCCCCTCCACCTCCTCCTCTGTCTCTGTCTCTCTCTGTGTCTCTGTCTCTCCTCCCTCTGGCAACCTCCTCTCTCCCTCCCCCAATTTCTCTCCCCTCCCACCCCGAACCTCCCACTTCTCAACATCCAACTTTCAAAGAAACGAGGGAAAAAAGAGCGCGAGCGAGGAACGAAAGCCGCTCCCCGTCTCCATGCCTCCTGAACCCCCATCGTTGCTTATTATTACGAATTTCCAGCCGCCCTGGGCCGGGGCACTGGACGGGGACCCACGGGCCCGCGCACACCCCGACCACAGCGGGTCCCCCTGGACCGCCAGCCCGAGTCGAGTGGGCAGGGGGTGGGTTGTCGCAGGACATTTGGGGTCCATAGGTGGGCTCTGAAGACCACCCCCCCAGCCCGCCCCGAGCAAGCCGGGAAGTTGGAGAAAGGAGCGGGGTGGGGGGGGGGGTTGGGAAAGAACGAAGAAGTGACGTGTGCAGAGGCCCGGCGCGAGCGCGCCTCTTTCCCCTTAAAGATGTACAACCCGGGGTGATTGGCGGGAGAAGGGGTCCCACGGCATCCTCTCCCCCTGCTCCTCTCGAGAGCCAGACAGGGGCTGCAGTCCCCAGGCAGAGGAGCTTGGCTACAACTGCCCTTCCGTGGCCAGAAGGGCCGCAACCAACAGGGGAGCCTCCAGAAATCTGCTGTCTCCTCCTCAGCCAGTATCAAAGGGGAACTGGGAGTTGGGGGGCTTCGGCCTCCCCCATATGTCGCCCCCGTACCCCAGGAGTAAGATGTCCAGGCAGTACCTCAGGCTGGCCAGATAAAACCTCGCAGCCTCTTCCCGGGTGTCTGGTAATTCCTACTGCCCCCCCCCCGCAGTGTGCCCATTTCACGGATCCAGAAACTAAGGCATGCGGAGTGGCTTGAAGCCCGGCTACCTGGCCCCAGGGCCCACACTCTGCAAGCTTGGTTGTTCTCCCTCTGGAATAGATGGGCACAGACCTGGCGCTGACAAACTAGCCTCACCCCTCTCCCAGTTCACTCCAAGAATCCTCCCAGGCTCGCTCAGAGGCCTCGGGCCACCTAGCAGACCAGCATGCTCCCGGATTGGTGTCCACCCCTGTGAAGTGGACGAACAGTGCCCACCCCAGGCGGTTGATCAGCATAAGAATACTGGCACTTAGCAGTATCCGTCAAATATGCACATTCTTAGAAAGCTTGGCCATTTTGCCCCGTGTGTCCCGAGTACAAATGATAACCTCTCGCCAACTTCGGACAGCTGCCCCATGCCCAGGGGCATGGAAGACGCCAGCAACTCTGTTATTCTCCCGTGTTTCAGGGGAGGAAACCAACGCCCCAGGAACGGATGCTACTGACCTGGGGCCCTGGAGCTGGACCAGAAGTGAGCAGGATTCGTACAGGACACATATGCCCTCCATCCCGCCGGCTCCCCCTGCACGTGGGTGATGGCCATTCAAATAGCACTTCACAAATGGTTTTTTAAAAAAACCCACTGTGCAGCCATGGGGGGTATTTAAACCCCAGAAAGAAAGGGAGAGGCAGGTGTCTAGGAATCCAAATGCCAACGTAACATAAAGCAATATTTTATTATATAAAAAGACGCCATGAACACCTGGAGGGCAGAATCCCCAATTCACAGACATTTCCAAGTTCAGGTTGGCTTCGGAGCATTCTCCCAGGTGGCAGTGACCCCCAGACTGCCCCCACGCCTGCCCCACAGGCAGCCTTCCCAAGGCAGTTTAGGTTACTTTGGAAGGCACAGTTTGGAGACCACAGACTCTCTGGACCTCAGTTTCCACATCTGTAAAATGGCAACAATAGACGTATCTCGCATTTTGGAAGTCTGGGCAGATGGGAATCCTTAAGATAACGTGTGGAAAGACTGAGTTAATGTATTAGTGGTGGCAGGTGCCAGTTCACAAACATCAGTGAAGAGTTACACATATATATATATATATATATATATATAGATATCAGTTTTGCTGATATATCAGTCAATGCTACTGAGTTCCTAAAATGCAAAATTCTTTTCTAAATGGATTGAGAAATAATAAAATGTGTTAGCGTCACCAATCCTTGAAAAACAGTTTATTATCATTTGGGGGAGAAAAGATAATAATTTTTTATTTTCCCTACTGTCAGCAGGAGTGGTCCCTACAGTGTACACAGTAGGTCCAAAGCAGGCCAGTTGCAGTGCAGGGTTGCAGCCTGGGTCTGTCTTCTCCATCCAGGAGCTAAAACTCCCTGTGCCTCAGCTTCCCGCTCTGTGAAATGGGAGGATAATAGTTTCTACCCCTCTGGGCTGTTGTGGGTAAACCAGCCAGTGTTTGGACCGCACCTAGTGTTTTCTAAACAAAGCAATTGCTGGATTGGACCTGTGTATATAACATCCCAGAAAGGGGCCGCATGATTTAGCTCCTGGCACTTTGGCGCACAGTTTAGCTCATTTTAGTTTAAAAATGCACTCTCCCCATCACTCACTCTTAGGCTCAGATACGGACTGTATCTGTGACTGTCCCAGATACGGACGCATGAGGGTGTTGACTGTCACCCTGTAACACTAATGCCAACAATTTGGAGCCAGCCACCGTGTCCATCTGTGGGGACCAGTTCAGCAGTGCCACCCGGGGGCACAGGCTGGAATACTATGGAGCTCCACAAAATACTAAGGGACCCCCACATAGAGATGCCTCCAAGAAACGCACAGGGGAAAGCATGCTGCAGCGCAGGGCTCCTCCCCCCTCAGCATTATGGACCATCCCTGGTGGGGCCATCTTGGGCACTGTGGGGTGGAGCAGCATCCCTGGCCCCCACCCCCTGGATGCCAGCAGCCCCCCAGTGTGACAACCACAGGTGTCCCCGGACATCACTCAGTATCCCCTGGGACAGAACCACCCCAGTTAAGAACCACTGCTGTAGACTCAGCAAGTAGACTCAAGATCTCATTTGGGATTTTTTTTTTAAAGAATATACATATATCCTTTATAAGAATATATGTGTATCCTTTATAAGAATGTGTATCTGTTACATGTGGAGTTGCTCAGACAAAGCTGGATGAAATAGGGCTTTTCTGGAGTAGGGGGTCCCAGCGGGGTGGGGGTGATGAGGAAGGTTTGATTTTTACTCTGAGTACTTTTGCATCCTCTTTAGATGTTCATGAGTCGCTCGTGTTATTAAAAAGCAAACTTAAAACATGTGAGTGGAATTCACAGCAGCACTTTCAAAACTGAGAGCAGCTCAGGGAGGGATGATCAAAGCCTGAGACCACCAGGGAAGGACACAGCCAGGGGGCCAGGACCTGTGAAAGCACGGCTGGCTGACATTGCCACCCCTCCCGCAACCTTGTGGGGCATCCTGTGTGTTCCCATTTTACAGATGAGAAACTGAGCCTCCAGAAGGGGATGTTAAGGTCCTCTGCCTTGAGAAGTAATGGGGTATGACATGTGGGCTGGTAGAGGCACAACACAGAGACACACACATACAACATGCCCCAAAGAGACGCAAAGACACACAGAAACACACCACATGGAGACACACAGATTCTCTCACGGTCACACAGACTCCAGCAGATACAGACACCCAGATCCGAGGGGACACACACAGACTCATGCAGACTCACACAGAGACACACAGACCCACACGAGGTCATGCACAGCCCAAACACAACACACGTGCAACCAGCCACAATAACACACACATGCCAGAACACAAGTATATACACTTACAAGCACACGAACCCATGGACAGAACCCCTCCTACTATTTATACACTGGCACACACACACACACACCCGGTGACACACAGCACCCGCATTCCTG